GAAGCATAACGTAATTCAGCAAATATGTTTTCTAATAGACATTTTTTTTGAGACATAGTCTCACTCTGTCACCAAGCTGGAATGTAGTGGCACAATCTCGGCTCACTGCAGCCTCCACCTCCCTGGTTCAAGTGATTCTCCTGTGTCAGCCTCCCGAGTAGCTGGGACTACAGGCATGCACCACCATGCCCAGCTAATTTTTGTATTTTTAGTAGAGACAGATTTCACCATGTTGGCCAGGATGGTCTCGATCTCTTGACCTTGTGATCTGCCTGCCTTGGCCTCCCAAAGTGCTGGGATTACAAACGTGAGCTACCATACCTGGCCTAGTTTTTTCTTTTAAAATAAAAATACCAGATTTGTGGTTTAAAGTCAAATAATTCTACAAAACTTTTTATGAAAAGCCACCAGTGTACCATCCTCTCCACCCCCAACATCTCTCTCTCATTTCTCACTCAAAAACACAGTTTCTTTCAGTTTTTATAGTTGCTTCTTTTGGTATTTATATTTGTAATTCTGAACACTTGTGTGTATTGCTACTTAAAGATTTTTTTTTGATTGTTACATTAGATATAATCTAATACGTTATGAAATGAACAATGAAAATTTAATTATTTACTAAATTTTTAAATTTTAAATTTTTTAGTTTAAATTTAGTTATCTGTTAAGTTTTTAAATATTTTGTTACCTACTGCCACCCACCAACCTCCCAGATAAGAATATGACCATACATAGAGCTTTCCCATCTTTCCAGTGCAGCTATATTATTTTGGTTAGATCAATATTGTGTTAAATTATTATTACTATGTAAATACTATTGGTGACTGAACCATGTAATGCAGAATGGTTAATTTACCTTTCTTGGATAACTTTTTCATTTTCTGTGGAACTAATAGCATTTTTATTTAAGAAATATCACATTTTTCTGTGTTTGTCACTAATTCCAGCTCAAATCTCTGCCATTTATCTAAATCTTAGGATGTTCAGATATGTCAGGTGTTTATCAATTTGTTTTGTCACCAATTACCTGTTTTTCTTATGTGTTCCATAGCTATTTTATGCATGATAAAAATTCTTAGTCTGTGTGTTAAATTGAGCTTATTAGTTCAAGTTCTCTCTGTCCTTGCTTACTTTTGCCCCCATTGGATGTGTCATCTTGACTTTTCACATGTATTTCAACATTCTCCAGAAATCTCTTGAGCCAGATCTTTATTAGTCCTGGCAGCATTTTCAGTAATTGTTCTATCAGCAGATAATTCAGGTTTTCCTTTCTCCAGACTCCACTAGCAATTTTCTCAGTGCCCTTTTAGACCCCACTGGCAGACCCCTTGAGTGGATCTTCCAAGCAGACAAATCCCAGTGTGGAAGTGCTTATTGGCCTAAACGTGCATGATGTTTGTTAATGTGCCGTCAGCCAAGACTGGTCACATAGAACAGCCTGGATTCAGTGTGATAGAGGACAATACAAGGGTGTGGATATGGGAAGGTGTGGCTTATCTCGTTCCTCCAAAGTAACAATTAAACTTGTTGGGTAAAGGATTCTTGATTTTAGGACCTTTACTACCAATAACCTATTATTTTTTTCCCACTCTTATATAGCTTATTCCAGTGTTTCAAGCAAGAAGTCCAGAGTAGTCTGATTCTCTTTTGTTTTTAGTTATCTAGTCCATTCATCTGGAAATAAACAGGGATTTTCCTTTGAGTTCATATGTTTTTCCAGGATATTTTTAGTATGTCTCTTTTTCAAAATTATTTCCATCTTGGACTTTGGAGAACCAATTCAATGTAAAGATTCAAACCTTTCTTTTGCTTAGTAGAGAGTTACAATATTTCGTTAATCATCACTTTTCTATGTTACTTTTTACGTTTTGAAGCCCCTGTCCTTGGTTGGTTTTATCTCATGGATTTGTCCTATAATTTCTTTTTAAATCTCATTACTTTAATCTATTTCTTCAACATTTATTTGCCCTATATTACTTTCCTTCCTTCCATGTTTTCTTCAGACCACTAATTTGATTTTTAGCAGTAACTTTTTTTTCACTTTCATTAAGTGTTTACCTTTGTACATCTTGTTTTTCTTTGATTTCTATTAAGTCCAGCAAATAAGGACTCTAATTGTACTTCCTTAGGCATTTATTAAAAAAACAAAACAAAACAAAACAAAACAAAACATGAAAGTACTTTATGACTTTCTGTAGTGTTGCCCCAGGAAAGAAACCATACTTGTTCTGATTATTCACAAGGGCTTTCTTTTAGCTTACTCGCCTCTTTTACGTCAGTTCCAAGTTTTTTAGTGGAAAGAACAGAGCTATTGGAGTTCCTTGGAAAATGGCAGTCATTCAGATGGTAACAGATACCATAGGTGACAGTGTACTGTGTCATTAGCAAGCAAACTGGTAAAACCTGGGGGAGCATTGTGGTGAGGAATAGAAGGAAGACCTCCAGACTCAAGATTGTACTAGCCAAAAAAAAAAAAAAAAAAAGGAATAACAAGGTTTTTCTCACCAGGGAATGTTTCAACCCATCAAGGTGGTCCTCTTCTGTGGTTTTTACCTCCCATTAGCATTAGTTGGAATCCCCCAAAATGGCACAAAGCTTGGGGGGAGCCCATACTACTCACATCTGTTAGCCGCATCTTCGTAGGCAGTTCCTGAACCTGAAATCTTTGGCCAAGTTTTTACTGGGCCCTCAGCTCTTCCCTGCTATTCATAGATCTGCCATATCCTCAGGAGAATTTACTACCTGAGCTGTAGTGAGATTTCCTCTAGGTTTCTCCAGATGGTATATTTGATTTAAGTCAGCCTAGCAAGTTGGGAGCATGAGGAGGACAGGAGATCAGGAGCATCAGGCCCCCATCTTCTCAGAATTCTTCCTAATATTTTTTTTCATATTGTTGTTGCTTATTAGTGTTTTTTGTTTGTGTTTTGTTTATTATCAGCTTTTAAAAGAACTGAGAAGCAACCCAAATTCTGTGGCTGGAGGATAGTCTTAGAATCCTCCTTGCTTATAATTTTTAAAGTAAGACTTTTTCCCCCTTTCATAGAAAGACTACTGTCTGGGGGAAGAAAAAGCTTTGTTACAGAGGCCATCCCTGTGCCTCATAATCTGTGCCAATACAAGGAAAGACTCCATGATGAAGAGCTAAGACTCTGGGGTAGTCTACTTCTACTCTCATCAGTGTCATTCTTCTAAAATGTTTTCTTTCTGTGTTTTATTTTAGATCGAAGCACATTTGGACACACTTATAAATGAGCAAGCCTCTTACGTTTTAACTAGGGTAGGCTTGAGTAACATCTATAACACTGTACAGCAACACAAACCAGAGCAAGTAAGTGCATAGATGTTCCTTCCTAATTCTAAGAGCATGCCAATTTAGAGTATGGCTTCTAGAGCTTCACTCTGGATTCCTGGCTCTTCCACATATTAGCTATGTTTTCCTCGGAAAGTAACTTACTTTTCTGTATCTGTTTCCTTACCTGTGGATTGGGGGTAATAATAGTGTCTGTGTGATAGGGTTGTTCTTAAGATTAAAAGATATAAACATGTATCATTCTTAGATGACTTCCTGAAATATGGTAGAGTGCCCCAAAGTATTAACAATTTTTTATTACATATAGTTTTTGTTAAAAGTAATGAAAATATACAAAAATTAGTATTATAGAATGTCTAAAGGATATTCATACTGGCAAATTTTTTAGATTCCTATGTCACTATTAGTTAATTGAATGCATAGATTACTGTATAAATAGCAGTCATCTTCTTCTTAATTTGGCAAATAATTGCCCATTACTTTGAGAAGATAGTCACTTCTTGGGCCAGTATATGATTTTGTTAAATTATAGAACCCTAATAGAAAAAAAGAAGTGATGGGAACCCTAGAAAATCGTGTAAGCCATCTTTCTTTAGAAAGCAAAGAACTCTTTCCAATGGCATTAACATAAAGACTGTATTAGGACCCAGGAACTCTTAAATGAAGCTCTTAAAACACAACTTTTCAGTTTTTTCTTGCTAAAGTGATAAGCAAATTTCTACCAGTAGAAACCAATTTTGCTGCCTTTCTTTACTGTCTAAAAGTATCAAAGTGAAATTGTTCAAACCTCCATGTGTCACTGGCATCTTCCAGTGCTTCATTGCCTTCTTTTTCTTGGGTATGAGTAAACTTGAAGTATGATATTTCCATTGTTAACAAATTTGAGCGCCTCTTGCTCCCTCCAACAAATCATAGTCCCTGATCTTATTGAGGTCAAAGAAATTAGAGTTATTTGCAAATAAGGTAAATGATTTTCCAAATGTGGGCAGTGCATAATGGACTATATTCACTAAATGAAATGAAATGAAATGTTTGTCTCCTTTTTTACATTTTGATTCTGCTTTTTTTTAAAAAAAAAATAGGGCTCTTTAGCTAATATGCCCAACCTAGATTCTGTGACACTGAAGGCAGCGATGGTAAGTATATAATAAAACATTTTACTTTAGATTTTCTTATGGATCAATATTCTTCATTTTTTGCTGTGTGATAATTTTGCTCTGGGTGATACTTTTTATCTCTTGATATGCTTTTTAACGTTGGGTCCAATAATAATGACTGAGCCTGTGTTCCTTTAATTGAGAGTTCTGGCCAAGTGTTAAATTCATAGTAGTGTTCCATTAGGCCTAGATAGTCTCCTCATTACTGTTTAGGATTACTGTTTACTCTTTATTTTTAGAGTCTTATTCCTAATTTAATGGAGAAACAGGAATAACAGATATGAAGAAATTAGGCTGTATATCATTATAAAGTTGTTACTACTATAATCCTTAGTTTAAAGTTCTTGACTATTTCCTGATATCAAAATCAAAATTAGATTCTACTCTTAAAACAGTTTGTTACTCGTTAGTGTGAGTTACACTGAATTTCCACTTTATTACCTTCTTTTCAAGGGAAGACCTTGTAAAGAAGGTCTTTTTGCATGATCGTTACTTCTCATAGTGTGTTCCTGTGTCTTAAATATATACTTTTCTTATAGGCATAACCATTCATTGTATGGTATTTAAGTCATATAGCTCTGTCCTTCATAGGAATGATCCCTTTTGGAAGCTTTATGATAGTACTACTAGTAATAGTAATAATAATAATAACAAGGAACAACAGCCATTAACGTTTACTGAGCATAGCAAGTGCTTTTCATGTATTAAGTCTTTAATCCTCATGACAACTCCCTTGAATCCAGGAAGTTGGCCTCTAGAGCTTATGGGCTTAACTACTGTACTAACCTACTGATCCTAAGTAAAATACTCGCATATACTCACTACCATAATGGCTTGACTTTCTAGATCGTTCTCTAGGATGGTTTTTTGATGCCAGGGCTTTCCTATGTATTATCTTCCAGAGCTCAAGTTAACTGAAAATAAAAGGATAGGCCCATAAGATACCTAAAAATGCAAAGACGAAGGTAGAGCTATCTATATAATTATTAAAGTAGAATTTAAAAAGACTAAATGTGACAAACAAGAAACATTATGTTATGTTAAAAGACACTGTAGAATTAACAGTTATAACTTCTATGTATAAAACAAAATATAATAGCAAAAATTAGAAATGCAAAGAAAATTCAATGTTAAAAAGTTTAAAAATAGATGAAAACGAATTTTAGATTAAGAGATATGTTTTTTTTAGGAAATTATATATACAGTCACCATACTATCCAGTAAAATCCCACTTCAAGATATTTACCCCCCAAAAAGTGAAGATCTATGTTCACGCTTAAGTCTGTAACAGTAGTTAATATCAAATGTGTGTTTCCTTCCGTGGTTTCTCCTTCTCTCTTGAAACATATCCACTCTGTAATACAACTCATAAAATATTTTTAAGTGCCATTAAAAATTCTTAATGTTTCTGGTGTTAATTTTCAAAACAATTAAGGTGAATATGTGATGTCTCTAAAGAAAGAAATCTTACTTGAATTTTGTATTTAATACGTTGTTATATACAACCATTTGTTGTCTCCATTTAGGGGTTTCTAAGGCGCTTCAGTTCAGCATGTCCAAAACTGACCCTGCCCATTCTGCCCCAACCTAAGTCCTCTTCCACGCACTCTTAACTCAGAAAATTGTAAGACCCTTATGTCCGTTTATCATTCAAATAGTTATTAGCCAAGTTTCTGCTGTTTTTTTAAGCATCATACTAAGAATTGGGATGAAAACAGGTATGATCTAGTAAGGGATGCAGCTGCTACACAATTAAATAAATGGATGAAGAGTACAGTTATGTGTCATGATAATATGGCGAGTTAATTTCTACAGATCCAAAATCTGGGAGTCAACCCCTTCATTCTGTTAATAACCAAGTCCTGATGGTCCTCAAATATTTTACTTCTTTCACCTTGATTGCCCCATAGTCCAAAAACGCTGCAGTATGTACCTAATTGGTGTCCTTGCATCTGTTATTGCAATCTTCCATTCTATTCTTCCTATGGACAGATTTAGCTTCATAAAACTTAAATCAGATTTCTCCTTACTTAACTTCAACGGTTTACTAATGCTTTTAAAATAATTAAAATCCTTAAATAAGCATACCAGTCCTACATGATCTCTACTTTTCTAGCTGTTTTCCTATCCACCTCAAGTCTTCATGCTGTCTCCTCTCCCTATACCTCCCCATCCATCCATCCACTTACTTAATTTATATTCATCTTTAAGGTTTCACTTCAAATGTCTTTTCCTGAGAGATGCTTTTGCCAAATCCACAGACTAGGTCCTTGATTTATGCTCTATAATACCTTGTTTTGTTCCTTAATAGCATTTAACAAAGTTTGTAATTATATATTTATTTATATTATTATCAGTTTAATACCTCTCTGCCATAAGCTTTATGAAGCTAAGGACTGTACTTCCATTACTTAATATAGTACCGTTTCAATGGTAGGTATTAGTTGAACTAATGAATGGATTAATGAACAAATGAACAATATAGTAAAATCAAGAAACAAAGTAGACTTGAAACCTGATGACTTTACTTTTTGTTAATATTATTACTTAAAAGCTCAGTGAAGAAGACTAAAATGAATGATTTGGATTCAGGACTTTAAAAGTAAATATTGCTAATATTGACTAATTACAAATTTGATAGTTTTAGGGAGTTTTAGTTAAAATGTTTAGGAAATAATACACAATTTGAACACAACAATCTAGCTATTTGGAGCATGGGATTTTTCTCATATATTTAATTCTTTTTTTTTTTTTTTGAGACGGAGTCTTGCTCTGTCACCAGGCTGGAATGCAGTGGTGTAATCTCGGCTCACTGCAACCTCTGCCTCCTGGGTTCAAGCGATTCTTCTGTCTCAGCCTCCCGAGTAGCTGGGACCCAGGCACGTGCCACCATGCCTAGCTCATATTTTTGTATTTTTAGTAGCGATGGGGTTTCACCGTGTTGGCCAGGATGGTCTCGATCTCTTGACTTCGTGATCCGCCCTCTTCGGCCTCCCAAAGTGCTAGGATTACAGGCATGAGCCACCACACCTGGCCTCATATATTTCATTCTTAAAAGAGATGTTTATATTTGAGATGTTTGTTAGCAAATATATGTACTTTATATTTTGTATTTCTCTGTTTCATTTAGGTTCAGTTTGATCGTTATCTGTCAGCCCCAGACAACCTATTAATGCCACAGCTGAACTTTCTTCTAAGTGCCACAGTGAAGTAAGTATTTTTGGTCCCAAGTAGTTGGTAAAGATTCACATATTTTTAAATATCAAGCACATTTTTTGGAAAAAAATTATTTTTAAAAATAGACAATTTACCATTGAAATCTATAGTTCTCAACCTTTCTTCTGCCTCAGGATGCCAAAGGATGTGATCTGAACATATCTGTATCTATTTCATGTGTATATGTCACTCCAAAATCTCTAATTAGTAAATGATTTTTTAAATTACTTTGAATATAATTGAAGCTATATAGCTGCAATACCAAATTCCCTTATGTTAACAAACATGTCAGAATAATGTTGAATATGTTATGGAAAATCAATAATGTATTCATTGTGCAATGCAGATGAACTGTTTTATAGACTATTTTGAACCTAAGGTGGTTTTCTGTAGATATAAAATTACTTGATAATCACTTATCAGGAATGTATTCAGAACACAGAATCATACAGGTAAATATTAGAATATAATAATTAGAAGAAACAGAGATTGAGATTATATAATCTGACTTTCTTGATTTTAAGAAAAATATTGGCAAAATTGTCTACAGGTAAGAAATTAGGCAACATTATCTACACATTTCTTTTTCTTTCTATTCAAACAGCAGTTCAGTAAGTGTTTTCTACATAACAGGCAGTGGGAGCTAAGGTTTAAAAGACATTTGGACTGTTTTCATGGAGCTTATAGCATAATAGGTCAGTTAAACGTGAACAAATATTTATATGAAAATGTACAGTAAGGAAAGAACTGTTGAAGAGAATATTTCACATATCTAAAAGGATGTAATGGTATAGAGGTGATATATACTTATTTTCTGTTCTGGAGCATAGAACCACAGCAAAAAAATAGAGCAAGGAAGCAGCTTTTTAACTCACCATGCAGAATTTGATATCAATTAGAATTGGCTGGAAATCAGTGGACCATTTTTTTTTTCTCAGACACAGAATTAGGAAAGTCCCATTTTAGGTGAGTGACAAGAGTACATAAACTTAATGTTTTTTGTGACTTTTATATTGTATTATCCTAAAAGATATTATACTGTTTACATAACTAGAATTTTAAAGACTTAAGAGATTACCAAAGAAACTATTATGCTATGACTCAGGTTGTATGTGCTTCTTAAATTGTTAAATTTTTAACTGAATACTATAATTCTTTTTAACTTAACCATATCTCAGTACTTAATATTTGAATGTTGTTAGCAGTGTCACTACAACTGTGAAATGTACTGTTATTTTCTTCATAATACAATGATTGAAGAGAAATTTTAATATACTTTAAAGGATGACATGTAGCCCAGATGCTGTGAAGCAGGGGTCCCCAACCTCCAGGCCAGGAACCCCACCCAGTCTGTGGCCTGTTAGGAGCATGAACCCTACTGTGAATTGTGCCTGGAATGATCTAGGTTGTGCGCTCCTTATGAGAAAGAACAGTTTCATCCCAAAATCATCCCCCCACCCTGGTCCACAGAAAAATTGTCTTCCATGAAACCAGTCACTGCTGCCAAAAACACTGGGAACTGTTGCTATAAAGGAAACAGACAGATTTGGCTCTATAACAGTTTAAGGTTTTTACAGAAAAAGATAATATAAACTAAGTTAAAATATAAACAATAATATGGAAAAATATTTGCAAAATATGTTACAGATACATTATTCTTAATATATTATCCTTAATGTGTAGTAAGATCTTGTAAATTAATACAAATTATAGAAAAACAGGCACTGAATGTTTGGACAATTCACAGAAGTAATGCAAATGGCAAGTAAATATATGAGGAAATAGTAATTATCAAAAAAATGCAGACTGAAACAACAATGAGAACTTTATCAGACTGCTGGCAATAAAACATTTATTACATACTAACGGAACAGGTCTGAGCAAATGGGCATTTTCACACTTTTTTAGTGAGAGTATAAGTTAGTACAATCTTTTCAAAGGGCAATTTGGCAACATTCCACAAAATTTCAAAATTATACATTCTTAGACTCTTCTAAAACATTATTTTTCTTTCTTAGTCTTGGTAACAGTTTAAAAAAACTGTTGAACCAGTGGTGGGGTTGAGTAGTGTATATGGGTCTATTTGAGTTCTTTGTAAAACTTCTCAGATTTTCTAAAGCTTAAATTATTTTTGAAATTAAATGTTTGTCTTCTGTTATTGAAGAGAGTATTTTAGTTTCCCATTTACTTTTATTACCCTATTGCCTAACAGTAACAATGTAAACTTTGTTTTTATTAAGACGAACAAATTTTGGTACATTTTTTTACTGTGAATTTTTAATTTAGTTTTTTTTTTTAATAATTTTATGGTATGTGCCTAACATCCTGTTATAAATCCTTACTAATTATAATGACATTTAAAATTGAGATATACATTATCTGTATAAGTATTAATAGTACAAACAAGAATTTGAAAATGCTTAGTACCTATTTAACTACCTGTTTTCATTCAGAAATAAATGTTATTTGCAAAATATTCTAAAATGTCATCTGTTACATAATTTTCAATATTTGTTTAGAAGAATGGAAATTATGGTATAAATTTAGCTACTTATTTTCAAAATCAGGATTGCTTTGAAAATATAGGGCATTTTACACATTTAAGATTTAACATCAGGCCCGGTGCGGTGGCTCATGCCTGTAATTCCAGCACTTTGGGAGGCTGAGGTGGACAGATCATCAGGTCAGGAGTTTGAGACCAGCCTGGCCAATATGGTGAAAATTTTTTTCTATTTTTACTAAAATATTTTTTTTCTATTTTCTATTTTTACTAAAAATACAAAATTTAGTCAGGCATGGTGGCATACACCTGTAGCCCCAGCTACTCAGGTGGATGAGGCAGGAGAATCACTTGAACCGGCAGGCAGACGTTGCAGTGAGTCGAGATCGTGCCACTGCACTCTAGCCTGGGTGACAGAGACTTGATCTAAAAAAAAAATTTAACATTAAAGCATATTTTTATTGTTTTACTTTTTTGAGATGGAGTTTGGTTCCGTCACCCAGGCTGGAGTGCAGTGTTGCCATCTTGGCTCACTGCAGCCTCCATCTCCCAGTTCAAGTGATTCTCTTGACTCACCTTCCCGAGTAACTGGGACTGCAGGCTTGCGCCACCATGCCTGGATAATTTTTGTAGTTTTAGTAGAGACGGGGTCTCACCGTGTTGGCCAGGCTGGTCTTGAACTCCTGACCTCTAATGATCCACCTACCTCAGCCTACAAAAGTGCTGGGTTTATAGGCATGAGCCACCGCTCCTGCCCTAAAGCAGGTTTTTAAATTGCATGTATACTATCTGTTTTTGTTTTTTCTTATTCTCTTCTCCTGAACTTTGTTTATCTTCACAGTTGCAATACCTTTGGGACACCTGTAACTCATGTCTCCCTTTTTCTTGTCTTGTCTTAGTTTGGTTGACTTTCAGGGAGATTTTGAGTGAGCACCTCAGCCTTGGCATAAGCTACTGAATACATTTAAGTAGCTAGGAAACAAGGTGGTATTGAAAATAGGGAAAATAATCAGAAAAGAAAATGGTTTTAAAGAATTCTTCCCCTTTGGAATGAATTCGAAGCTATATTTTCAATGTAAAATCTCTGATATTCACCTTCTAGCCGTACAAAAATTCTTTGGACTATAGAAACCACAATTGCGCATATATAAAATGTTCTCAATAAATCTTTGCTTATTGTACACAGTTACTTCCATAATAACAAGAAATAAAGAGAATGTAGATGCTTCCTAAAGTGAGCATATGGGAAAGTGAATAAAATTTGATAACTCTTTCATTCAAGATTTTTTCTCTATTATAGAAATAATACACTAGAAACAAAGCATGTATCTATAATGGAGCAATTTTTTTAGAGAAATTGAATAAATTTTTTTCTTTTAACTACCTTCCTTTATTCACCTGTACTATCAGGAATATCCATATAAACCAAAATAAAGCAAGTTTGGGGTGAAATTAAAAAAAAAAACTACCAGGAAAAGAACTACTGGACAGCTGTGAACTGAATGCTTTAGAGACCTCAGAAAGTCCAAACATTAAAAGCAGGGTTAATCTAGTCCTACAGGAAAGGCCACTATATTAGTCAGGGTTCTTCAGGGAGACAGAACCAAGAGAAAGAGACACACACACAATAGGCTGCCTGCCAGCTGGAGAACCAGGGAAGCTGGTAGCATGGCTCAGTCCAGGTCCAGAAGCCTCAGAACAAGGGAAGCTGATGGTGTAACTCTCAGTCTGAGGCCAAAGCCTGATAACCCAGTTACAGGAGACTATTGGTGCAAGTACCAGAGTCCAAAGGCTGGAGAACCTGGAATTCCTATGTCCAAGGGAAGGAAAAGAAAGAGTACCTTAGCTGCAAGAGAGAAAAAGAGCAAATTTGCTGTTCCTCTGCCTTTTTGTTCCATTCAGGCCTTCAGCTGATTGGATGGAGACTGCCCCATTGATGGTGAATCTTCTTCACTCAATCTCCTATGGAAACACCCTCACAGACAGACCCAGAAATTATGCTTTATCAACTAACTAGGTATCCCTTATCCAGTCAAGTTAACCCTTAAAATTAACCATCACAGATACTTTAGATTCATACTAATTAAGCTTAAAAACAAGCTGTAATTAAACTTGATTTGTAATTAAATTAACTGCCTTCTGGAATAAAACATATCATACTTAAAGATGACAGAGACAATCAGCAGTGTAACATCTATAATGCTAAGCATGCAATAAAATACTATTTCAGTGAAGAAGCAGGAAAATATGAGCTAAACCTAGAAAAAAAAATCAGTCAATAGAAACATAGTTACAAATGGTAAACTTTACAGAATTAACAGATAAGGTGTTTTTAAAAGTTATTAAAAATTCAGTAATTTAAAGGAAAACATGATCTTGAGAGAACAAATAGGGGATTTTACAAAATTAGAATTTGAGACCTCAGAGATGTAGTATATAAAATGAAAAATTCACTGGATTGGCTTATAGGCCAGTTGAATACTCCAGAGGGAAA